TGCTCGGGATATCGGAGAGTGGATCGGTGCCAACAAGCACACCATCTACAACTTCAGCCCTCATGCCCGTCCTGTTCCTCTTGAGCTCCACCTTCAATCTTTCACCATCCCTCACTTCCCATCCGCCATGCTTGCAATGGCTCGCCCGGCCTACCAATCGATTTTGCAACTCTCTCCCGATAAGCCTGCTCTGGTCTTCGTGCCAAGCCGCAAGCAGGTCCGTGCGACCGCTGCGGATCTTCTCTCGGCGTGTGCTATCGACAACGATGAAGATCGTTTCCTGAACGCCGATGCCAGTGAGCTTACGCCTTTGCTTGAACGTGTCCATGAGCAAACTCTTGCCACATCGCTTTCTCACGGTATTGGCTACTACCATGAAGCTCTCAATGCCACTGACAAGCGCATTGTCTTACACCTGTTTAACATTGGTGCGATTCAGGTGCTGTTAGCTTCGAGAGATGTGTGCTGGGAACTGGATATCACGGCTCACTTGGTCATCATTATGAACACCCAATTCTTCGATGGTCGTGAACATCGCTACATCGACTACCCCATCAGCGATATCCTACAGATGTTCGGCAAAGCCTCCCGTCCCGGTCAGGACAAGCTTGGCCGTGGTGTTCTTATGGTGCCAGCAGTGAAGCGCGACTACTACAAGAAGTTCTTGAATGAGGCCTTGCCTGTCGAGAGTCACCTGCAGGTTTACCTCCACGATGCCTTTGTGACTGAAGTCAGCACAAGGACCATCTCCTCCACCCAGGATGCGGTTGATTGGATGACATACACCTATTTCTATCGCCGTCTCCTTGCAAACCCCAGTTTCTACGGCCTTAGCGATGTGAGCCACGAGGGACTCAGCACATTCCTCTCGGAACTGGTGGAGAATACATTGAAGGAGTTGTCAGAGGCAAAGATCATCGATGTTGATGAAGAAGATGACAGCGTTTCGCCTTTGAACGCTGCTATGATCTGTGCTTACTACAACATCTCTTTCATCACAATGCAAACATTCTTGTTGTCTCTCTCGTCTCGAACGAAGCTCAAGGGTATCCTGGAGATTGTGACATCGGCGACCGAGTTTGAGTCTATCCAGATGCGTCGCCATGAGAATCACATTCTCCGTCGCGTGTATGATCGTGTACCGGTCAAGATGTCAGAGGTTTCCTTCGACTCTCCTCATTTCAAGGCTTTCGTCCTCCTCCAGGCCCACTTCTCGCGCATGCAGCTCCCTCTTGATCTTGCCAAGGACCAGGAAGACATCGTTCGCAAGGTCCTCAACCTGCTCAGCGCTTGTGTGGATGTCCTCTCATCCGAGGGTCATCTCAACGCGATGAACGCGATGGAACTGTCCCAGATGGTGGTTCAGGCCATGTGGGATCGTGACAGCCCTCTGAAGCAGATTCCCCACTTCTCTAATGAGGTGATCAAGGTGGCTAATGAGTACAAGTATGTATCGTTCGAAATATCTCTAGACACATTTGCTGACCCTTTGTACAGAATCAATGATATCTTCGAATTCATGGAGGCCATGGATCCATCAGAGAACAAGGATTACGCTACTTTGGTCAAGCGCCTCGGCCTTGACAACAAACAATTGGCGCAAGCTGCGGCTTTCACCAATGAGAAGTATCCCAACATCGAGCTTGACTTCGAAGTTGAGGATGCCGAGGGTATCACTTCGGGCGAACCCGCATACCTCAAGGTCAAAATCGAGCGGGACATCGAAGAAGACGAGGAGCCCGACGCTACTGTCCATGCACCATTCTACCCCAACCAGAAGATGGAGAACTGGTGGTTGGTTGTCGGCGATGAAAAGACCAAGAGCCTGCTGGCTATCAAACGAGTCACCATCGGTCGCAAGCTCGAGCTGCGCCTGGAATATGTAGTCCCTACACCTGGAAACCATGAGTTGACGCTCTATCTTATGAGCGACAGCTATGTTGGTGTGGATCAGGCTCCTACGTTCAGTGTCAATGCGGCGGAGGGAATGGACGAAGATGAAAGCGAGGAAGAGGAAGAGTAAATGTCATGATCTGGTTTACAATTTGTAATAATAGTTAAATTTCCGAAGTCTAAGAGTACAAAATCGGTTCCATATTACTTTGGTCTTCCTCGATGTAACACAGTATATGCCATGCCTGCAAGGTACATGGCGCTTAACCCGATCCAGACCGTAACCCCCGCATGATCACGTTGCTCCCCAACCTCATCTTCTCTTCTCCAACTCTCCTCTTCTCATACCCTGTTTGTCTTGGTATCATCAATAGCATACATAACTTGTGTTTTTCGTTTTTCATCTATACTTAGACCCTGTTGATACCTCGATTTAAGCTCAATCCGATCCTGGAAGCTCCCCCGAGCTTCCTATCTTATCTCCCATACGATCTGATATGACCATTCGGAACATGAAGTTCACTCCCGAGTAAGTAGTCTTGAGATACTTGACAGTTTGACATCAATATCCATTGAACGTCTTTGGGGGCATTGGGCTGACACTGATTACTCCAGGGTCCTGCTCGGAGCACCCAGGCGGTCCTCTGCCACCCCCAATGCAGCCGGCACACTAGCAGTCTACACGCAGACATCCTACTCCTTCGAGTCTCATGCCAAGACAAATGAAATCCGCGTTATCGATATTAGCTCTGGCCGCTCTGCCCTTATCACCAACGACCCCGGCGCCAGTAACCCACAGTGGGTGGACGACAGCGACAAACTTGTCTGGCTAAAGACCAAAGGCAACGGCAATACAAGCTTTGTTGTCGGCGATGCCCGCCAGGCCAATGAAACATACACCGCAGGCACTGTCCCAGGCCCGGTATCGGACTTGAAGGTGGTCGTTCTGGAGCCAGGAAAAGTCGGCTTCGCCGTGACAGGCAAGGCCAATACAGACGGATCGCTATACAATCCCCACGATGCGAAGAAGCCCCATACAACCGGAAAACTGTACACGTCTCTCTTTGTTAGGCACTGGGACTCGTATGTCGAGCCCCAGAAGAACGCAATCTTCTATGGCTTGCTAGAACAGGCTCCTCTGTCACCGGCCCGTAGATGCTCTGGGAAATATTCCATCTCGGGCCTCACAAACTTGATCGCGGTCTCGGGGCTGACAGGCGTCGAGTCGCCGATTCCGCCTTTTGGTGGTACTGCAGACTTTGATATTAGTCCGTCGGCTATTGTCTTTATTGCGAAAGATCCTAACTTAAACCCCGCGACTCATACCTCTTGCTCATGCTATTATTCTCCCATGTTCTCGTGGACTAGTATGAGTGACCCCGGACCGAAAATCTGCAAGGTTGCTGGTCTTCAGGGAGCGATGTCGTCTCCTGTCCTTAGCTCGGACGGTAGCTCTATTGCCGTTCTGACGATGCGCGAGGATGGCTATGAGTCTGATAAGAACCGTATCTTGTATGTTCCCAACCCGTGGAATGGAGATATGATCGAAATTTTCCAGTCGGACGACGGCGAAGGACTCTGGGATCTCAGTCCATCAGCTATATCGTTCGCTCATGATGACAAGTCACTGCTTATTCATGTCGAGGAGGCCGGTCGCGGAGTTCTTTACCAGCTGCCATTGGAGAATGCGCACACAATCAAGCCCGACTCTTTAAAGAGACTGACCAGATCGGGATACGTGAACGATGCCGTTCCAGCAGCTGCTAAATCACCCAAGTTGTTCGTGTCTAGCAGCAGCCTGGTAGATAACAGCCTGTGGACCATCATCGACCCGGCCCGCCCAGATGATGTTCAACTGGTATCCTCAAACGGGCGGGGCGGCAGAGCATTCGGCTTGTCTCCGTCTCAGGTCGATGAAATATGGTTCAAGGGAGCCGAAGACCACCCTGTCCATGCGTGGGTTGTGAAGCCGTCGGACTTCAAACCCGGGAACAAATACCCGCTTGCGTATTTGATCCACGGTGGACCCCAGGGCGCGTGGAACGATCAGTGGAGCACGCGTTGGAACCCCGCTGTTTTCGCTGAACAAGGTTATGTTGTGATAACCCCCAATCCAACAGGCAGTACAGGCTACGGCCAGCCCTTCACCGACGGAATCCAGGGACAATGGGGCGGTCGGCCCTACGAGGACCTAGTCAAAGGATTCGACTATATCGAGCAACACCTAGAGTACGTCGACGTCACACGCGCGGTTGCACTGGGTGCCTCGTATGGCGGCTACATGATGAACTGGATGCAGGGAAACCTGCTCGGTCGCAAGTTCAAGGCGTTAGTCACTCACGACGGAGTGTTTAGCATGACGTCACAGATGGCTAGTGAAGAACAATACTTCCCTCTACACGACCTGAAAGGGCCAATCTGGAAGGTGCCCGAGAACTGGGCGAAGTGGGATCCGTCGCGGCTCACGGAAAACTGGGACACGCCTCATCTGATCATTCACAACGAGTTGGATTACCGTCTGACTATCGCCGAGGGCTTGGCTGCGTTTAATGTGCTCCAGATGCGCGGCATTGATAGTGCGTTCCTGACATTCCCTGATGAGAATCATTGGGTTCTGAACCCTGAAAACTCGCTCATGTGGCACCGGACCGTTTTGAACTGGATTAACAAGTACGTGGGTCTGCCAGCTGTGTCAGAGGAGCCCGATCTGTCACGCGCAGTGGGTAATTTGTCGCTGTGATGACAACGGTCTCTTTGATTTGGCCGTTTGGGCCAATGGGAGACTCAACTTGAATATGAAACGTATATGACAGATATTTATGAACATGGTTATTGTTCTTTTCTTGGAAACAAAGCGGAGAAGGGGGTTGTGCGTGAAACTCGGCTTGATTGGAGAGCTCACGATGTCTTTGTGTTATAAAGAAGAGGCTGTTTCGAGACGTCTCATCTCATTGTCGTTGGTTCTTTGAAGTTTTCGACAATCGCATACATTTCATCTATATAAGTGTCCTTATTTTCCTTAATTTACATTCTTCATACTTTGCATAGTGTATTTTATCTTGTCTTTCAACACTGCCACTACCACCGTTACAACTACCAACACCAAAATGGAAAACGACCCGACAACCCCCAACTCCCCTCACAGCATCAGCTGGCTCTCCGACCGAACCCTCTCAATCTGCACATCAACCACAACCATAGCAGATACCCTAAGCCCAATGAGCATGTCCTCCGCAAGCATAACACCTCTAGACCTCACCGAATCCCCCTTCCCAATTGAATATCCCAACATCACCTTTCGCGAAAGCCCTAACTTCCACCCTCATTTCCTACCCCTCCTTCGCCACCTCTCCTCCCACCTCTGGCCCCTCGTCAACTGCGAAACAGGCCTCCAACACCCGGACTTCCCACCAAACATGCTAGCCTACAACCTTCTGACCTCGGAGCAGGTCGATAACCTCGCCCGTCATTTCCATCAGGTCTACCCGCCTGTCCCTGCCACATATAATTATCCTGTTCATATTACCCCGTGGATTGGCACGGCGGAGGAGAAGACCATTGATCTCCCTACGAGGGTGCGGAGGTTAGGGCGATTTTTTGGGTTGATGGGGTGTGAGGAGGATGCGGAAATGGAGGATCATGATGAACATGGGAGTGGTAGTGATAATGGGGAAGATATGAATGGAGGTGAAGATGAGGTGCTACGCCAGATGGAGTGGGAGTGGCAGCAGGCGTTGCAAAGAGCGTATGCTGAGGAGGGGCATCGGTGGAACTTGAAGTGAGTTTGATTTCTGATGAAATGGAATATAGACAGAATGTAGAACATGAAGAATCCGGGCTATGCATGGGTTTCCTTTCTGAGACGGACTTTGCGCCGTGGTTATTTAGCCGTCGGTTAAAAGAGGTATAGAGTATAGAGACAAGCTATAGGCTAATAAGGGGATGATAGTGGGATAATGAGGGGATAATTTAGCATAGTAACATGGTAGGATAGTAGAGAATGAAATATTAATAGCCTTCAATCCCCTAAATACCCAGCTCTTCCATCTATACATTTAGCCCTATATAACCTCACCATCACCACCACCACTACCATGCCCAAACCTCTCGTCTCCCACATCTACACAGCCGACCCCTCCGCCCACGTCTTCAACAACAAACTCTACATCTACCCCAGCCACGACCGCAAAACAACAATCACCTTCAACGACAATGGCGACCAATACGACATGGCCGACTACCACGTCCTCTCCATGGACACAATCACCAGCCCCGTAACCGATCACGGCGTTGTCCTCCGAGACAAAGACATTCCTTGGGTCTCAAAGCAACTCTGGGCCCCGGATGCCGCAACGAAGAATAACAAGTTCTACCTATTCTTTCCGGCCCGAGACCACAAAGGAATATTCCGTATTGGCGTAGCTGTCTCTCAATCCCCGGAAGGACCGTTCATCCCGCAGGATAATTATATCCAGGGTACATACAGCATTGATCCTGCTGTCTTCGTTGATGAAGAAGCGGGCGGCGAGGCGTATCTCTATGTTGGCGGGATTTGGGGAGGACAGTTGCAATGTTGGGTTGAGGGGAAGGATGAGGATGGGGGGGAGGGGGAATGTGTTGATGGGGAGGGTGCTGGACGGAAGAAGAGACTTGTTTTCGATGAGAGTAGGTCTGGACCTCAGGAACCTACTGGCGAGGGTGTTAGGGCGCTTTGTCCGCGTGTTGCGCTGTTGAGGGATGATATGCTTTCGCTTGTGTCGTCGATGAAGGAGGTTGTTATCCTTGCGCCGGAGACCGGGGAGCCCTTGCTGGCAGATGATCATGAGAGGAGATTCTTTGAGGCCGCTTGGGTGCATCGGTATCAAGGGACGTATTACTTCTCCTACTCGACTGGTGATACACATTTCTTAGCTTATGCCACGGGAGACTCGCCTTGGGGGCCTTTTACGTATCAGGGACGCATTCTGGATCCCGTGCTTGGATGGACGACGCATCATTCGATTGTTGAGTTCCAGGGGAAATGGTACTTGTTTTATCATGACTGTGAGCTTTCTGAGGGGATCGATCATTTGAGGTCGGTTAAGGTGAGGGAGATTGTTTATGATGATGAAGGGGCTATTCATCTTGCTGAGGAACAGACTCCTGTGTAATAAATGTTGGTCTATTGAGCTGTATACGTGTATTATAACGGTGCATCTATTCTAATTGCCCATGCCCTTCTCCCAGTTCTCTTGAACCAGCTTCCAGTACTTCTCGCGGGAACGTTCACGGAAGGTCTTTCCGAATTTAATCATGAAGAGGAAGACTGAGGCGCATGCCATGCCAATGAAAGCAGCGGAGATGAAACAGTTCTGGTAACCCATGTTCTCAATCCAAGGCGTGATACTAAACGAAGTTAGTGTTTGTCTGCTAGAATTGGAAGAGTAAAACTTACCCATAACCAATTGCAAAGCCCATGGTATTCCGAATCAGAATCACACTAGCCATGGCAATGCCGCTCAACTCTCGGTAGCTGTCAATAAAGTAATTAACGCTGAGCGTGATGCCACATGTATTCGTGAAGGCCAGCATGCACATTCCAGCAATTAGTCCAAACCAATGGACCTCATGGGCAGCACCAACCCCCCATAGAATAAGGGAAGCAGGCACAAGCACCACACAAGCTAGGAAGGGCCAGAGACGGTGCTCTGCCTCCATGACGCCATTGTTCCGGCGGGCGAGTTCCACAGTAAGCCAGTCGCTAAATCGGCCAGTGAAAAAAGATCTATTACTGTCAGCTTGCGTTGAAGTATCGGACCAAGGCGAAGATCTTACCCCAGGACCACACCGGTGATGGGTGCTAGATAGCTCAGACCGACCATGGAAGATCTGGGATTTGTTAGCTTGCTCCGTTCATTGTTCGGGTAATAATAAGACCAACCCGAAGTTATATGGCTCTCCACCAAGAATGATAGAGGCTGTTCCATTCATGATGTTGAAGTAAACCAGATAGGATCCGTAAGAGAAGCTGTGTGCATGTTAGTCAAAACGTATATAAAATCAAAAACGTTGTATCCATACCCGGCATAGAAGATTACCGGCCAGGACAGGTAGTAAAGACACTGCCAGAGTCGCCGGAAAAAAGTATTTTGCTCCTGACTCGGTCCCCAGAGCGCCAATTTCTTCACATATGACTTCTTGGTGTAGCCCGAACTTATACTAGCCCTAGTGGCAGCTTCCATGTCAACATCCACAGATTTCTCTTTTTCGTGGTCTTCCGAGCTGAGTTTTGGGGTTTCCGCGATAGTGCTAGGCTCGTCGGGCTGTGCTCGAACATAGTTTGTTTCCTCGCAGAAAAAGAAGAGGAAGATAAGGGCACCGCCGACGAAGATACTTGGGTAGTAGAATACCCACCGCCAGCCCTGGTACTGAGCGATAAAGCCGCAGATGACCGGTGCTAGGTAGTTACTTCCTGCTAGGAAGAATGCATAAAGACCCATGTATGTTCCTCGCTCGTGGGTGAAGTACTGATATTGTGTAAGCGTGAGTCATTTCCTCATGGGGTTTTACTTACCACGTCCGTGACGGAGATCTGAGGAAGCGCTTCTACGGGTGCTGTGAAGAAACCCAAGACGATGTTTCTTGCGAGCCATTGGCCCTTGGTGCTTGCGTATGGTCTGATTGGTGTTAGTCTTGTCTCATCACGGGCATTATGGTGCTCTTACCCCCACATCGTCATACCCTAGGGTTGTTAGCTATACTGTTCAAGTGATATCCAAAATAATTAAGAATGACATACCAAAATTCCGATCAACGACAACATGTATGTCGGCCGCTTGCCATATTGCATAGCGAAAGGCTGCCAGAACAGCAGACCCCAGCCAGCCAACAAAAACATATACCCGCTTCCCTCGTTCAGAGTACTAATGGGTAATCCTGTTTGTTCGTGCAGCGGCGTAATTACCGAGTAAACGACCGAGCAGGCAATTCCTGAGAACATCGTATAGCTAGAAAGTCAACATTGATCCTCGGCTCAGGTCATAGCCTGCACTTACATGCTCACGCAAGCAGTCGACAGAATCTTCCGTCTCGGACTCCAATTGAGGGGATCATCTGGGTCATTTGACGGGGTCGGGATCAATACAATGTCACGGTCTCCGTGGTCCAAGTGCCGGGTCTCCACGACATGATCCACGTCTACCAGAGTCACGGTGCCAGGGATGACTGTGCTGTCGATGACTGGCGCCATGGTGAAGTACAATTCCTTCCTATATATATGAATGGGGTAAATTCAAGAGAAAAAAAAGCCCGCTCAAGTATGAGATATTATTTACCGGAGGAGAGCCAGTTTAAATCAAGGCAGCCGAATCGAAGGGATAAAGATAACACAGATATGATCGAAGATCGACATGTTGAGATTCCTAGAAGATGAAGAGGAGGCGAGGAGAAAAGATAAGAACTTTTCCCCGCAAAGAAGGTCTTGGCAAGGATTCTTATATTTTCTGTTTTTATATCTTGGATTTCTAGGGATTCTATGGGCTTGTATGGATTTATAGACTGGCATAGACTGGCATATAGTCTCTTTAGCCATCACTTTCACTGCAGATATCCGAATACAAAGAACATCGTCGAGTCCGATATCAGAGTAATCTCGGAATCCTATACTCCTTTGATACTTTGATAGCATAGATTACCTTCCTATTTCGGCCTAAGTCTCTCTCCCCTTTCAGGAAAGAAACGGTTCAACTAATTTTTGACTTCGTTTCCATAACGCCTCTGCACTCTCTTCGCCTGCTGGGAAGTCGAGATGGGGTAGTTTTGGGGTCTGGCAATGATCGAGAAAGGCTCCAGATTGGGCTGATACTCATACCCACCAATCAGTACAGACACATTGTCGTCGGATGGTTATCTTACCTTCAAGCTCCGGATCGAGCAACCCGCGCAAGACAGCGCCACTACCCTGACAAAGGGACTTCGGCGCTTGTTGCAAAAGAACCGGTAGGTCTTCGCCGGCTGGATAAAGGAAATCCTGTCAAATGAAATGGTCTTCGCTATCTGTTAGTTATCTGGACGTACCTTCTTTCTTCCGCTGCAGCCAGGATTTGACCTCCTCCCATCCAACATATGTTTGGACATTGGTTTTGGTATCTAGATCGAATGAGAATGAGAATCAAAAACACATTCACGACATTAATAACTCACTTCCTGGATTTGCAGAAAAGGCAGCGATAGATCCACTATGCTTCTTTGCAAAAGACTTGATAAACAAGATGATCGCGAGCATCGACTGCGAATACCCATCGAGACAATGGTAATTTTCTCCATTCTATCCAAATCAGCATCTTCTACACCAGCAAGTATACATATAATCCAAACAAAAGAATCACACTCACCTCGAACCCCAAATCATCCCACGTAGGCGCAGGCGCCTCATTCCGCAAACTAGACGTAACCAGAACAGCCCTCGACCTGGGCCCCATAACATCACGCAGCAGATTCAGCAGCAGGAAATAACACAGGTAATTCCTTTGGAAATGCGACTCGAATCCGTCCTCCGTGAGCGACCACGGTACAGCCATGACCTCGGGGAACCCAACGAAGCCATCAATCGACACGCCCAGCTTCTTGATAGTGTGCGCTGCCTCGCGGAACGAAGTCAGGCTGCCGGAGTCTGCAGTTACAAAGACCATTTTGACTGTTTTGTATTTCCGATTGATATGGTCGATCACAGGCTGGAGTTCGTGCTTTGAGCGGCCTGTGTATATGATGGTCCCTGCGCCGCCGTGCGCGAGGACGTCTGCGGTCATTGCGGCGAGATCACCTCGTCTGAGGCCGGATATTAAAACTATGCGGTGGAGATTAGTTTTTATACCGCGTGGGTTGGGGCTGTGGCGGTACATGTTTTGTGCTTCACCCGGTCTGGGAACAGATTCAACACGTCCGTCCCCTGTGTATGGTCATCGAAGGTACTGCTCATTGTGCTCGATTCTGTTTGGTTTGGATTGGGTTGAGAGATCTCTGCTTGGTGTGAATCGTGGACAAACTCGGCATGTCGTCATCATGAAGCCATCTCGGAGTATGGTAGAGTCACGACTGAAGCAAAAAATATGGCGATAAACATCGAGTAGAATTATGGGTTGCAACTTATAGACACACTGGTAATTCGAACAGCAAAAAGTAGACAGTGAACAGCCCTGATATCACAAAAATCAATTCGCATTCATAATGTACAGTCAAAGAAACCGCCCACACGGAGCCTGCCGGTCAAAAAGAAGAACGCAGATAAAACAGAAAACAAGCAAGATCCAAGTAGATCTCAGTGAGATGGGCCCGCATCATCTTCAGGCATCTGATCAATGACACTCTTCATGAGCTCGATAAGCTCGTCAATGTCGGGCCGTTCCGAGGGTTCAACAGTGAGACACCTGCGAACAATATCCTTGACGGGTGCGCTGATCGCAGGGACCTCATTCTTAGACGCATCCTCACTTTCGCCGGACTTAGCTTTACCCTTAGAAGCGCCAGACTTCTCATCGGGGAACCGCCAGTCACCACCAAGAACGCACATGCTCAGACTGCCACCGGTCTCTTCGCTGCGCGCCTCGAAGGGACTCTTGCCCACAAGACAGGCGTAGAGTGTGCAGCCCAGCGACCAGATATCAACCTTAGTATCAATAATCGACCCTGTCTTCACATCGAAGAGTTCCGGTGCACGATATGGCATCGTGCTGTGTTCTGCTGCGGTATCCTGCACTGCCAAGGCGAGTGAGCGCGACGTAATGGCGATGGGGCTGGGTGCCAAAGAGCCTAGATCCATCAGGATGGGAGATTGGCCGTTGTCGTCGATCATGATGTTTCCTGTAATACAGTTAGCTCGTCGAGTCGATTCGGAATTTCCGCATGTGCGGCCACTCACCAGGCTTGACATCTCTGTGCGCATAGGGGCGCAGGTCCCCATCCTCGACACCTTCCTGACTCCGGGTGACCTCATCATCCATTAGAGGCTCATTCTCCTCATCCTCATTCTCAGGAACGCGATGGCTAGCCCTCCGTTTGGGTTTCATCTGCATGGTCCGTTCGTCGTCTGCCTCCTCGCCTTCTCTCCGAACAGCCTTCACCTTTCGCGTAGACGCCGCGCCGTTCTTCACCCGATACTGATGCATCGAGCGCAGCGCATCGGCAACACCGAGTATCAGGACCATCAGCCGCTTCTCGGGGAACTTGGTATGGTTGACCAGATTGGCATTAATAGCATCCTGGAGATTACCGCGCTGGTAGTATGGGAGTAAGATATAGACCGTTTTCGAGCCTGGATCTCCGCCATCGGATCTGAATTTCGAGCCGGATTCTGTGGACACGCAGTGGTCGATCGAGTGGATGATGTTGGATTGGGAGTTGAAGAGGTTGTAGGCTTCGACTTCTTTCAGCGCTTGCGATACGGACTCTTGACCGAAGGGACAGCGGATCTTCTTCAGCGCGAATAATTCAGAGCTCGCTTTATCTTGGACTAGGTAGACGTAGGAAAATCCACCCTGTTGCGTTGTCAGTTCAGACCAGCTTGCAGCTATCGTTATCGGGTATCCATACCTCGCCCAACAAACGTAGGAGCTTGAAACTTCGGTTGTTGATCTTTAGCTGTGGAGAGCTGGGAAAGCAACACATGCAATCCGTGAAGTTGTATAGAAGGTCGAAGAAATATTGCGCCATGGTGTATGATGCGAGGGCAGGAGGTGGAGATGTCGGGCCCCGGTGACGTCCGGCACGGTAGGTGGTAGTTGCGCAGGAGTTCGTACGGAACGGACAAGATCGTCGGAAAGATGTCTTGGAGATGCAGAGACTCAGAGGCAAGGTTTGTATATGCCGAGGAGGAGATGGTGGAAGTTGAGGATGTCAGTTGGCATTACGTGGAGTGGAGTCCCGTTTATTTGTTGTCTTCCCCCTTTCTCTTGTCGTTGCGTTCGTTGGATTTCTCGATCACCTTCATTTCTCTTATTCTAACTAATTAAATCGGGACTAATCGGGCCTGTCGTTTTCCACTTATTTCCTTTTTTCCCCTTCCCAATCGTCATGGTGGAAGTTGGGCCGTCAAATATCCTTGCATTCTCCTAAACACTCCCTCTGCACCCTGACTTCTAAACCCTTCCAGGGGCTATCGATATTCGCCCGGGGCTATTATTTAAAAGCCGCATCCCACCCTATTCTCCTCATATTCATATCACCCCATATTTCTCCGCAATGGCGCACGATGATGTACAGGTCGGTGACGTGGTGAATGTCCCCGGTGGCATGCATGGGACGATCAAATACTTGGGATCGGTAGCGGGGAAGGCCGGACGATTCGCAGGTGTCGAACTGAGCGCCGAGCATGCGCAAAGAGGCAAAAACAGCGGCGATGTTGAGGGCCGGAAGTACTTCACAACCTCGATTCCGGGTTCTGGTATATTCGTGCCCATGAACAACAACAAGTATGTCACAAGGCGATCCTCAAATATCTCTACACCGATTACTCCTGCACGTGGGGGGCCGGTCAACTTCAGCAAATCTGTCGGTGCAGCTCTTGCTACTCCCCGCCCTCGAGTCCGACGACCCTCTCTCCCTCGACCCGAATCTCCGCGCGTGCCGCCTCCTCCGAAACTAAGCCTGGCCGGCTTGCGTACACCGTCGACTGCATCGAGAGCGGGGCTGAACGGTGGCATGCGTAGTCCCGTCAAGGCTCCATCTCGGCTGTCTGATAGACCATCGTCGCGACTTAGTGTGGATGATGATGCTTCGTCGTATGGACGGCCGTCGGACTTCCGTCGACCGCCCTCGTCGGAGATTCAAGACTTGAAGGATCAGATCAAGAGTCTAGAGAAGCAGCTGCTAGACCGAGATAAGCAGCTCGACGAGCAGTCCGGAACTTTGGGCGAGTTCCAGAAGACCTTGGAGGAGATGGAGGGATCGGAAGGTCATTCATTCCGCACACAATTACGTGAACGTAACGAGCGGATTATCCAATTAACGGCCGAATTCGACGTTCACCGCGCAGACTTCAGAAGCACCCTCGACACATTGGAGATTGCAGCCTCTGAAACAGAACGCGTCTACGAGCAGCGTCTCGACGAGCTTATACAGCAGAACAAGGAACTGCAGGACCGCGGCGAAGATGTTGAGGTTGTTGCGCAGCAGCTCAAGCAGCTGGAAGAGCTAGTCTCGGAGTTAGAGGAAGGCCTCGAGGACGCCCGGCGTGGAGAGGCCGAGGCTAGGGCCGAAGTCGAGTTCCTCCGCGGTGAAGTTGAACGCACCAAGCTGGAGCTGAAAAAGGAGCGTGATCACTCCGCCGCTGCATTGAAAGATGCACATGCCGCCGCAGACGGACCCCGAAGCAGTAGTGAGTTGGACCAGAAGGATGATGAGATCCGAGGGCTCAAGGCCATTATTCATTCTCTGAGTCGAGGAAATCCCAGCGGCGAAGGACAGAACAACTCGGCAGATCATGACCATGATCCAGAGCACGTTACTCAGCTGGAGATTCGACTGCAGGAGGTGGAAGAAACTACAAATCGCAAAAACAATCGCATCCAAGAGCTCGAGCGTGAACTTCAAGAAATGCACCTGCAGTCTGGTGGTCGTCGCCGCAGTTCTACTGTCACTCTTTCGCCAAAGCAACACAGGCCATCGCACTCTGCGGGCAATGTCCCCAATCCTTTAGATGATCCCAACAGCAATCGTCTCTCTGACCGTACAGTGGTCCCGACCGACTGGCAGGATGCTCCTTCGGACCTCCATCATCACCGTAGTATGTCAAACTCTTCTCAATCGCGACTGGAGACCATGCATGAATCCGAGCGTTCTTCCGACGAGGATACCATGTGGTGCGAGATCTGCGAAACAGGTGGCCACGACATCCTGAACTGCACTAGCATGTTCGGCTCTGGCCAGAACAACACCGAAGAGAAGAATCCCAAACATGAGGCTGCCGATGAACTTGCCGAGGAACACCCAATTGAGAAGACGGAACCCCTCCAGACCAAAGCCTCGTCCATCCGTACCAATACTCCCCCCGCACTAAAGACAGGACGGGATGTGGTCATGGAAGGACTAAAAGGTATCGGCGGGCTGAGTTCATCCATGGCTGCCGTTGCTGGTAAGTCATCCGGAGTCGTCGATGAGTCCAAGTGGTGTGCTCTCTGTGAGCAAGATGGGCATGAAAGCATCGATTGCCCGTTTGATGAATAATGTTCTGGATATTAGAGACATGGATTCAGTGTATCCCATAAGATCACAGCTCTCTGTCACAGCTCTGTTGCATGCATCTATGGGGTGTTTTTTCTAGTACATGATTGTTGGGTCGGTTACCCGGTTAATAAATGGTGTTTGCTTTTTCGGGAGCTGGAGGAAAGCAGAGGAATGGGAACACGGTGAGGGCTTTGTACTTGTAATAAATACTATGCCTTTGGTCATAATAAGATGTTCGTTGGTGTATATCTGCTTCCCATGTTCCGTTGTATATCCTCGACTCGGATCGCCCATTGATATGCCGAGGAACGTATCCGTCTCATTCTACTCTATCTCTATTCTATCCTTATCATCGAGGAATATTGAATTGGCCACTCATAACCACTCATAACTGATAGAATTACAACCTCACCTCATGGACCTGATCAGTATACTACTCAGGATGAGTCGGGGGTTGCACAATTTCCCCATCCTGATACTTCGACGCCGCAATCTCCCCACAAGCCTTACACTTGCGCTTTTCCTCGTCGGCCCCAAACTCCTCAACTACGGCCTTAACCTGCGTTCCAAGGTCAACACAAACGAACTTCTTCTCCCAGACAATCTCCTTGCACTTCCTGCAATACCATCTCATAGCATCCACTGCATCCTTAGCCCGCGGCAACTCCATCACGACACCGACAGTGTCCTTGAATCGCACGGGGCAGTGCGGGGTGTTTGCGGGCAGTAGGAAGATCGAGCCTTCGTGGATGGGAATATCTTGGAAAGTAGCAGGTGTGGTTGAGTTGTCGACTGTTTTGAGGAGCATTGATCCCCGGTATTGGTAGAAGAACTCTGGGGTTGTGTTGATGTGAAAGTCGGTTCGGGCGTTGGGCCCGCCCACTATCATCACCGTGTAGCCGGCTGTGGCGGAGGGGTGGTAGACGCAATAGTTGTTGACCGGTGGTTGGAGGAGATGGGAGTTCTCTTCGAGCCTGGATAGATTTCATTAGCAGTTGGCTTTTGTTTAGATAGCTTGCTTATGGGTCGCGTGATGAATCATGGTATCATATAGTGGGGGAACCTCGGAAGCATTGTAAGAAAGATATGTTAAGTCTTGGACTTGCCATTTGGGAATGTTTAGTGCTGGTGGAAGCATCGTGAATATATCAAAATATGATCTTGTCAGTGTTCTACTTTGGTAGCTTTTCGCAAATGTCGCATGAGGTCGGAACCGTCAGAAAGCGAAAACGATGATCTGATCCCCGGAGATATCAGCTCCACCCCGGACTTAAACAATCGGCCCGGATCAACTTCCCTCCGCCAATTTTTCTTTTTCCAATCTCGAATCCAACAGTCGGCCTGCAGTGATTAACGGCGAGAGACTTGACCAACCACACAAAATGGCCACCTCTCAACCCCCCCTTCGGTTCACATCCCATCATAATTTGGTATATCGCCTGGTTTTGTCCACCCTCACCGGCCGCACAGTTCACATCTCCCAAATTCGTTCTTCGTCGCCCACGAACCCTGGTCTTGCGCCTCATGAAATTTCTTTCCTCCGCCTTCTAGATGCAATAACCAATGGCTCTCAAATGGAGATCTCATACACAGGTACTGTGCTTGTCTATAAGCCGGGTCTAATCACCGGCAGCACGGCCGGTACTGGAGCCAGCGGCGGCATGATCACCTACGAGCTTCCTTCAAACTGTAACCGTGGTCTCAGTTACTTCCTGATCCCTCTATGTCTGCTGGCCCCATTCGCCAAAGCACCCATGAAGGTGCTCTTCACAGGACCTGGTGTGATCACATCGTCGACACAGACTGGAGATATGTCCGTCGACAGTGTTCGCACAGCGATCCTCCCTCTGTACAAACAATTTGGTATCTTCAACAACATCGAGCTCCGTATCCTGAGGCGATCAAACACTGGCCCCACTGGCAGGGGTGGCGGTGGTGAAGTGCAACTTGTGTTTGGCCACCAGGTCCGTCTGCCGAAGACTCTGCACTTGATGAACGCAGGCCGCATCAAGCGCATCCGCGGTGTGGTATACTCGGTTGGTGTGTCTGGCTCGAACAACGCTCGCATGATTGAGACTGCCCGTGGTATCCTCAACCCACTCAGCCCTGATACTTATATTTTCTCCGACGTGGCGTCTGCGCCTTTAGTACCAGCTCCGGATAAGACCAACCCCCAGGCAAAGAAAAAGATTGGCCTTGGGTTTGGTTTGTCTTTGGTGGCAGAGTCTTCCACGGGCTGCCTCTTCTCGGCTGATGTGGCCTCTCCACCGTCGGGTGGTCAAGCCCCCGAGGAAGTTGGAAAGCAGTGTGCATTCCAGCTTCTGGAGACGGTTGCCAAGGGTGGTTGTGTGGCTCCTGCGGCTGCGACCACCATGTTCACTCTCATGACCATGGGATCGGAGGATGTCGGGCGGCTGCAGGTTGGCCGAGATGTGATTGCTGATCCCAACGTGGTCCAGCTCGCTCGAGATCTGTCCAAGTTTGGTGCCCCCGGCTGGGGTATCCGAGACGCACCTGACAATGGAGATGGAGATGTGATTGTCAGCATCGTCGGCCGTGGCATCGGTAACGTCGGCAGAAAGATTGCTTAAGCTGCTGTGAACGGCTTTCGCACTTCATCCCAAGTCTACCACTCTGAGGGCCTTCACCAATCCGGAAGTCTCGCCTCAGCAGTTCACTCCTTCCCAGCAGATGGGGCCGCGTGGTAGTCCATCAGATGCCGTCGGCGTCACGTGTTTCTGGCCGTTTTTCCAGTGCGCGCCAGTGTGCTCCACGAAGCTTAGACGTCTCAAGGCCTGACTGTCGAGCATGAACTCGACCTGTCGCTTCACAGCGATGAAGCCATGTGCGGCACAAGACTGCTTTTTCCTGTCATCATGATACCCACACAAAAAAACTTGCTGAGCAAGGTGACAATCTCTTACATAGGATTCAATATCATTGTCTTCTCTTCTACTTCTATACATATTGACATAATGGTGACATACATAGTTATTGCCAGGGCGACCAGGTGTATCCTGAGGCCATCGACTGTTTCTCCCATAAATACCACTGTCTCCCCCATCTCCCTCTTCTCTTCTTCATCTCCCCATCCCTCCTTTTTTTCTCATCTCTCATTTCCCATTCTTCATATTCATCTTCATCGTCCTCCATCTCCCATTTCCACCCATCCATCCATCATCATCACTTGTTTGTTTTCTTCCTCTTCCCCCTTTTCCTGTCACCGTCCTTTGTTTACACATCCTCTCCCACCTTCCTCCATCGACGGCTCGCGCACCACCGGGTGCTGGGGGTGAAGCAACGGTGAGCCCCTTCGCTTTGTTTACATTTCACATTTCACATTTCACATTTCGGGTTTCTTGTTTATCATTTATCCCCCGCCTTCTGCTCACCGGTCCTGGGGAAACCTGGTGCCGACTGGGAAGTGAAGAGAGGGACTTCGTCATCATGTCTGCTTACAACGTTCTCTGCCATTTATCTTGCCATTTATCCTGCCATTTACCCCAGCGACGGCTCGCACCTCAACGTGGTGCTGGGGTCCAGTAACCCTTCGGGGTGAAGCCAAGACGAGCCTTGCCATTTATTAACCATTTATCCACCGTCTTCTGCTCACCGGTCCTGGGGAAACCTGGTGCCGGCTGGGAAGTGAAGAGAGGGACTCCGTTGCAACTTCTTCTGCCATTTATTCATCTTGCATCTTTCGGTTTTCTTGTTCACCATTTATCCCCCGCCTTCTGCCCACCGGTCCTGGGGCAACCTGGTGCCGGCTGGGAAGTGAAGAGAGGGACTTTGTCATCATGTTTGCTTTCCCATGTCCTCTGCCATTTATCTTGCCATGTATCTTGCCATTTATTCTGCCATTTACCCCAGCGACGGCTCGCACCTCAACGTGGTGCTGGGGTCCAGTAACCCTCCGGGGTGAAGCCAAGACGAGCCTCTTCAATGTTTTGTTTCCTGATTGCGCTTTGCGATTTGTTTTTTCCGCTCTGCAGTGTTGTGTTTGTTTTGCAATGAAGGCTTCCAAGTAGGGCTCTTACGGTCGCGTGACTTGTTTTCTTTGTTCTGATTCTTAGACTGCGTACTTGTACACAACGGATTGGTCTTTTTTTTTGTTTTGTTTTATTATTACTAGGCAGGTATGAAATGATTGCAATGAAATGAAATGTTCTTGTTCTAATTCTATTGAAATGTAGTAGTCGCTAAGGAGATGGAAGATCAGACAGGACATGAGACGCCGGAGATGCAGAGTTCTCATAGAACCAAGACAAAGAAAACAAAATGCTTGAACGCTTTTTTGAATCGAAAGAGTAAGAGGGAGAATCAACAAGAATTGGGAATCAAAATGAAAAAGACCGCAATGAGATGACAGTAGTGTGTGCAATGAAAGAAGACCAACGCGAACAAGGACTGTGCAAAAAGCCGAGAAAATACCAAAAGTGACAAGAAAGAAATCAAAAACAGCACGAGAGACAATAATACCTGTCGGAAGGACATCTCAATCCGAGGTATCCTCATCTTTACCAGGATACATAATATCCTGGCGATAGACTGCAAGACCATGGTTGACAAAGACGAAGAGGAACATGCAGACGATGCAGATAGTCATCGCAGAGCCAACGCCCTTAATCGCGGAGCTGTCAAACGCATTTCCAAGCGTAATGGTCGCAATCGTAAACCCAGTATTCGGGAAAACCATCGCCCACCAGCTGAGATGGAAGCTCGTCGGCGGCGCCCGAATAACCGCAATAGCAGCGACACAGAAGAACCAAAAGCTCAGCGCCCACAAGAACGCGCCTGCCGCCAACGCCAGAATCTCCAGCATCCGCCCGTCGGCAGTAGTGTCCTCACTGCCCATCACGTTGAACGTCGCAGGCAGTCCCTGCGCCATACCCACGAGAGCAAGCGCGGTGAACGCTGGTGGTCCAACGCAGATGAACATCGCCGGTCTGTGTTCCCGACATGGAAGTCCGCTCTCCATCAGCCGGCCGATGTAGTGCGAGTACATCATGAAGGAGATGCAGAAGCCTAGACCTTGGAAGGTCATTCCGGCAGTGACGATTGGGATTGCTGCGCGCGCGGGCTGGCTTTTGGCGATTACAGACGCGATCGTCCCGCTTAGCATAATTGGGAACGCGGGGAGGATCCACGAGGGCATCATTGTTTGCAGGCGGTAGGTGTGCGAGGTGAAGACGAAGGAGTATTGTACAACGGCGAGAGTGAATGTGCAGAAGCAGTATATCCAGAAGAGGACTTCGAGTGTGGCTGTGAAGGATGGGGCGGGGTTCTCGCCGAAGTACTTCTCCAGGCCGGTGATCAGTGTTGCGGCGGAGAGCCAGAAGGTTGGGAAGAAGAGGCCCTCGCGTTCGTGGCGGAGGGAGTTGAGGGCGCCGCCGTGGATTATGAATCGCGCTGCCATGAGAGAGCAGACGAGGGAGAAGAGGACGAGGTTGATCAGATAGATGGCTAGGCCGATCTCGTGGTAGCCTGTGAACTTGTTCGGCTGGTTCGCTATAAGAAGGGCGAGGCCTCCTGCGCTCATGGTGAGGGTGTACCATGCCCATGTGAAATGGCGGAGACGATCGCGGAAGCTCAGTGGGTACTGCTTCTGGTACTTCTCTGATTCCATGAAGGGTGTTTCGGAGTGAGCAGACGGCGGTGCAGACGGCGGTGCAGATGGAGGCTGAAGCTCTTGGCTGTGGTTAGGGTAGACCCCTAGTAGAACTGGGTTGGACATTGTGTGTGTGTGTGTGTTTGTATGCAATGAGGTATAGATGCAGCCCTAAGGTTTGAACATAAAAAAGGAGTATAGGTGGAATGTATTCAAGATAGGACTATAGACCAATTGATCATAGAATGAATAAAAAAGCAAATTCAAGTCAAGTCTGGAAGAATTGAAGTAAATGAGTGATGAATGGAAGTGATGGAGAAGGTGCGAAAGGGTGATGTTAATATACCATGGGCAGAACATCCAAGCATATCGATTTCATATTTTTTCGGAATCACTAAAGATCAGCCAAGGAATTCCAAGACTCTACATTTTGATAGTGAAAAAGATCAAAAACCGAAAGGGGATTATATACAAGGTAGGCAAGGCAAAGGAATCATTTGCAATGGACCTACCAGCGGCCTCAACGAGCATTTCGGACCCATAATTCATGGAGAAATCTATAAGAATAGATCGGCCAGGATTTTGGGCTCGGACGATTCATACTCCATATGCGTCAGGGGGTTTGTGCCTCTAGGGGCAGTTCCGAAAGCACAGAGATCCACTGCGGATCTGAGCATTAGGCATATAGAACTTCGATGCCTAGGGGGGTGGAAAGTCCAGCTCTGCCAAGAACATGTAGAAACCATTGCGTAGTGATTTTCCCTGAATGGAGACCCAGTCGTTGGGAGAGTACAGAGTAGGCTGATTGACAATCTGTGCATTTGTGTCAGTTCAACACTCACTTTGAATCAGAGACAGGTTACTCAGATGATGAATCTCAAAGCCGAGTTACGGGCCGACTTTGATTGCCTTTGACGCCGAGCCCTCCCGATAGGGCATCAGATGTATAGAAAAGCCTAAACAGGGATATTCCAATGCGCCTCCAACGTGCCTAAACGCCAAATGCCAAGAGCGATCTCCAGTACATTGACGGACCGCTGCCAAGCTTTGATTATGAAGACAGAGACAGGATTGGAGGAGAGGAAATAATAGGTCACACCATTGCGTGTACCGAGTATGCACGTGTAGAACAAATTCAATAGAAGACACGCAATCTGAAAATCAAGGAGAGAAGTTGAGATGAGAATTTGACACAAAGTCAGGTGGAGTTGGCAGGTTGACGTACCTCGGAATCTCTTGGCGCTTCCTTTCCCCTGAACTTCTCGACCCTCACAGCCTTCACAGCCCCCATCAAACAGCACTATTGACGCTGGGATTCCTGCCAAGAGACTATTCGGACATGGATCTTTGTCGATCGGTCGATCTTCTTTCAAGGGGGGATGTTTGGATCGTCATTGGTGAGTTGGTTGGCTTATCTTTGGCCGTTTTGCCAAGATGCCACCTTGTTTGAGAGTGACCTATACGATGAAACCCATGTCGATGTCATCAGGAATTCACTTGATACAATCAGGGTCTGGCGGTTATGGAGTTCATAGAGTCCACTCTCTCCTACCAAGTCGACGGGACCCCACCGATCACCCGGAAGGCTACGACTATACCACAGCCATGGACACAATCTAAATTGCAAATTCATTCAAAGGGAAAGAAAGAAAAGAAGAAAAAGATTAACGTCATGCAGGACAAATGCAAGATAATGCAATGCACCTCGAAAACAGAAAATGACACATTCAAATTGTGCAACAGAACGCCAGCGCGGTCCTTCGAAACATCTCGAGGGCATCAATGCATAAAATCATATCAAGTTAACGCAGAAAATAGAACACCAAAAGTCTGGGCATATCCCAGACCCAATCACATCTCGGCATCCACTCACATCATGCGATAGACCAGATCGGAGGCCAGCTCTGTCGTCAAATCTAACAAAGCACGAAGACTTTTAGGGGACGTAGAAGTGGAGGTCTCAGCCCGCTCCGTCTTGGCATCTACCGGCCGCAAATTAGGCGTCGCCGAGACCGAATCCTCTGCCGAATGATACCGTGACAATTCTTTCACGTTGCACGCCAAATAGTGCACTACCAGTCGACGCAGCTCATTCTCCCGAAGCTGTGTGGCGGATGTCGGTGAGATCGGCTCTAGTCGGGCCGTCTTCGTGTATGCGTATTGCACCAGCTCTAGCACCATCTGCGCCTTGGTTGCTGCCAAGCCGTCTAGAATCTCCGTGTCGTCTAGGTGGGGGGTTTCGAATTCCGTCGGTGAGAGGAGGACTAAGTCGTGATGCAGCTTTCGGAGACAAAGCTGGGCGAGAGCGGGGATTAGGTACCGTGTGGCGAAGACGTATAATTTCGCGTGGAAGGTAATGTAGGGGAGCTCAGTGCTTGGCGACTCGACCGGGGTGGGCTTGGAGGCTGTGGGCTCGTCGTTGTACTGCAGAGAGATGAACTCGTCCCATAGGTTGAGACCAGGCTCGCTGGATGAGGATGCTTTCTGTTGGGCAAAAGACATGTCGAGCATTGGTCTTTGCGGCTGTGCTTTGGTAACGCTGGTGCCTGGGCTTCTGTCTTGAGTCCATGAATCTTCCATCGGTCCTTCCGCAGCGGGTGTGGGCTGTTCTACAGGCGCGGGCTCTTCGGTTGCAGGTTCAGGCTCAGGTTCAGGTGCAGGCTCAGGTGCAGGCTCTTCAGCTGGCTGTGCCCAGTACTCAGCCGGTTCTGATTCTGCTTCTGGGACAGGGTTTACTGGAGACCATTCTTCAGCGGGCTCTGTTTCTGGCTCTGCCTCTGGCTCAGCAGCAACTTCTGGCGGCGGTGTTGATGGCGGCGTAAGGCTGACAGGCTCAGTCGGTGCGGGAGGTTCTTCTTCGACGATCTCCGCTTGTTTTTTACCCTTCTTCCCTTTCTTTCCCTTCTTTTTGCCTGCCTTAGGCTCCTCTGATTCCCATGACACAGGTTCTTCGGTCGGAACCGCCCACTCATCGTCGGCAGGAGGCACTTCTTCAGCCGGTGGCTCGGGTGCAGTCTCCGCTTCGTGGTATGTCTCTAGCTCCGGCTCCGCTATACTAACTGGAGTCTTGGGATCTGGAGCCGACTCGGCCTCGGGCTCTCGCGCAAATGTCGGAGTAACCGGTTCCTTTACATAGGCGGGCGAAGGCTCAGACTGCTGGTACGATTCTTGTCTCCGATGGCGAAATTGCGGAGGTGGCGATGGAGCCGGGGGTGGCACAATCGACGACATTGAATCAGACCGATAATTCCCTCTCCAGTTGGTAATTGTCGAGCTCTCGACTACTCCAAGTCTGTGATCTTCCTGGACCTCAGGACGAGGCACGCTATAATTGCCAGTGTATGCATACTCGCAGAAAGCAACGAAGGTTTCAACATCGTCTTCTTCCAGAACGGCGATTCGGTGTTTCGATTCCCTCGTCGGGCCGTTCATGAGATGATCCAGTGGTTTAGAGACATGGTGGGCGAGCCCCGACTGGATCGTCAGCTTTGTATGTTGTGGGCCGACGAGGAAGGTGAATGACGCTGAATGGATGATTCTGAAGATGTTGAATTAGCGGTCTGCTAACAGTCTATACCTATATCATAGCTGAGATGCGCTCTCCATACCTATTGAAGTTAGGAACAGACTCCATGACAGTTGACCTTCCGCTTCAGAAGGGATGAGATGAAGAAAACTACGTTCTAACATGCGGGATAGCCCCATTAAATATTTTACGCTCCAATTCCCAAGGCGCTGGAAGCGATCTCGGGCGAGGAGAGTGGCCTGCTACGTGTGCAGCTGTGATGGGGGCATGAACCCTTTCCAAGACCCATTGTGCTAGTTAACGCTAGACCAAATGACTAACTCGCGATATGCGATATGCAGATGGGGCCAAAAGAGGTTTGATGTTGCCGTGGTATGTGTTCGCCCTACACTGTTCTCTCGATATACTATGATTTGGTCCCCCCCCCCGGATGCCAATGGCCACCACCCACCCGTCCGTTTGAACCATTTGAATGCGATGCCGCTATCACCGACACAAAAAACAACGCAGAGCAGCCACACAGAGCAGCCATACAGAACAGCCGATGTTAACTGGATCATGCATTGTCCAATTGTTGGGCGACATTGGCATCAGCAGGTTTGTGCCCAATCCCCAGCCTTCGGAGAACCCAATCTCGGGCCTCACTGGTTGATTTGCTCCTGCAAGCTCCATCGTTTTGAATTTGAAGCTTCACTTGGTTTGAATTTTTCTTTGTCCTCGAGATTCTGGACATGTTGGATGTAGCGGTCAACGGTTGTACAACGGTGCCCTGAAACGCTACCTAATCTTATGCCGAGGTTGGAAAAAACGACGAGATTCACAAAATATTTACAGATGTCTATAAAAATAGACATTTTGAAACCTCTGGCTCCGCTGTTACAGGTTAAATATATCCCTCGCCCCCTCTATTCCAGGAACAAGCGTATTTCACCATCCCATCGTGAATCCACAAATATAGTTGGCACCCTTGGGAGTATACAACGAACAACGCCTGTTGTACATTCAATTCTCCAAACGTCAAAAACGTCACATGTAAAAAGAGTAGCGTAGTCTATCCAAATATATCAAAACAAATCCAATAATTTACAAAATAAACCACCGATCAACTAGTATGCATCAACCGAATCTCCGTGTTCCCCGGTTCCCACTCCCTCAACCCTTCCCCAACACTATACCAAAACCGCAATCGAATACACTCCTTCCTCGCAGCCTCCAAATCCCCTTTCTCAAACGCCTCCCCAAGTCTCCCCACACACTCAAGAACCCTCGCCTCATTCTCCTTCTTAAGTGTATTGATCTGCGCCTCCGCATCAGCAGACCCTCCGACCTCCTCAATAGTCTCCTGCACCTCCATAACCTCCATCAGCGTCTCCGCATCAAGCGCATGCTTAGTCGACGCATCTTCCGCCGTCACGTCGATCCCGTGCCATTCCCGTAGAATGTACTGTGCCCGCTGCAGCGGGTCCAGGAGTGTCCGGTATGCTTCATTGATCCGTGCCGAGAGGCCCTCGGCAAGCTGCTTCTCCGCTCCGTTGGGGTACTTGTCCGGGTGAACGAGGCCTTGTAGTTGGAGGAATTCGCGGCGGAGTTCGCTGGTTGGAATTGCGAACGCCGAGGCTGGTGGCGGGCCTGCTGGTAGCGTTTGAGGGAAGATCGTGTAGTGGTTGGTTATGTCTGGCGCGCCGGCAAGGGTGTTTTTGCTTGGTTCTGCTGGGGTGGGAGTCTCTGTTGAGGCAGAGCGGTGCTGTATCTTGGATGTCCGGGCTATGAGAGGTCCACGTGTTGGGAGGGTTGTTAGTCCTCGCGCTGGCTGGCGATATCGGCAGAAGAGGCATGCATCTTGACTTGTGTTTGATAACGAGGTTGGTCGTGATAAAGGCCGTGGGGTTTTTGTGCGACAGAAATGCCGTGCAATCCTCTGTGGACGGAAAGCCATGACTATATAGTGTTTTTACAGTCAAGGGAAGGTCAACGGAAGTGCTATAACTTCAAAGTTGATAAAAAGCTCTCGGCATACCGCTTTACGTCATCCCCGCATTTGGCACGTGACTACGAATTACACAGGAAAGCGATGTAGATAATGATAGGTCTTCTTCAATAGGTAACATACAGCCTGTTCCTTGAGTTGTGTACGATTTCCAATTATGATGCATCAGACAGGGGAATAGTCAAGCTATAACCCCGAATCATTCAATCCCCCAAAGCTTCACCGTTCGATCGTGGCCGCTGCTAGCAATCCACTTTGCATCGTCACTGATATCCGTGCTAAGAACATTGCCCGAGTGGCCGCTCAGCGACTTTACTAGGGACCAGTCATCCGCACTAAAAATGTTGACACTTTTATCAAATCCACTGCTCACAAAGAATGTGCCGGATTTCTTGGGCGACGGGGCTTCCGCTGCAGCCGGTGCAGCGCCATCAATGTCCATCCCGCCATCGGTAGAAGGCAAGAATGACGCAGCCTCTGCACCCTTGTACCAGCGGAGATCTGACACCACGCTCTTATGCGCACCAATACCGCCCGTCTCCTTCATCTGTCGCAAGTCCCAGCATTTGACCAAGCCGTCACCGGAACCAGACAGCACCCGGTAACCATCAACTCCCCAGTCCATACCGTAGATCTCCCGAATGTGACCGTCGAGGATCATCACGTTGCGCCCTGTCCGCAGATCCCAGATACGCCCAATGCTGTCGAATCCACCACTAGCCACAAGGGAGCCATCACTGTTGAAAGCCACTGTATATACCTCGCGCGAATGGCCTTCTTGCAGGAGCAGCTCAGTTGCTGTTTCTATATCCCACAGCCGCCATGAACTGTCGAAGGATGCCGATGCTGCGTATCGGCCCGAAGGGTGGAACTCGGTACGGCATACACGGGCCGAATGGCCAGATAACGTAGCCAGTGGCTTTTCTTGATCAAGAGCCCAGAGGTGGAGATTTCCTTCGCCGCCTCCGGAGATCAAATTGACAGTTGAAGGTGAGACATTCGATCCGGGTAGAGTGGCACCGGGAAGCCACGACAAGCCGCCCACTCGATCCGTATGCGCCTTGAAGGTCGCTTTTTCTTCCAGATTGGGCACGCTGAGCAATTTGATCTCACCGCTCCAGTTTCCAGCAGCGATGGTCTGCCCATCCGGCGCGAATCGACAAATGCTAACAGGACGATCGCCAGCAATCTGCGACCCGTAAAGATCGAATCCTTGTAGCTTTTCCTTGACAGCTTTGCGATGCTTGACATGTGTTCGAAGTGTGATTGTTGATTCGTCCTTGAGCCGAGCCACTCGAGCCTTTGCGCGCGGCAAAGAATAGAGCGCAATATTCTTCCGCGCCTCGAGTAAATCTTGCCCGCCATCTGTGAAAAATTCTTCTTGTTGTTCTCCTTCCTCCTCGGCCTCTTCCATTTCTATCTCGCCTCCGCCTTGTTTCTCTGCCATATCGGTCAAAAATTCACGTAGACGATCGCGTCGTTCTGATGGTCCCTCGCCAAATAAGGTAATGGGCTCCCCGAGTTCCCGTAGTCGCGCACGCACTCGTGTGTCATCTGTTGGGACCACCATCGCTGCTGCTCTGCGTTTCCGTTCGAATTGCGATAGGATGGCGGAGGCGCGCTCAGTTGGGATACCCCCTGGTGTAGAGGGCATATCGTAATCTTGGTCCATGGCTATTATTTTATTAGGAAGCTTCAAATCGAAGCTTTCGAGAACTACTCACGAAGATCGGCATAGCTGATGCCCCCCATGTCTGTATCCTCTGTCTCCTCAACATAAGCTTGTCGCGATGGGTGCATCATCTTGGGCGACTTAGAAGCCTATGCTTCTCCGGTGGCTCAAAAAGCAGATTAATAAAGACTCGCGCTTGAGTAAAAGAAAAGAATTGGGGTAGAGGAAAAGGTTGGCGGGAGACAAGATGTTGCGGGCGGCAGAATCATTGATAAACTTTGGTTGGCGGTATAGCGTTGAAGAGCATGCAATTTGACGAACGTCGCGTGGAAGTAGAAATATTTAAATTCAACTAAATATGAGAATAACATTGAACAGATTCTCTTGTTTCTTCCAATCCCAAGTCCGATCCCAAACAAAGACAATTTCTGCCTGAGTAATCAGGTATCAACGAAAAACTAATGACGCGAGGCGGTCAGACGATAAGGGCGGGTACTGTCTTATCCATTGAGATTCATGCAGCTCCTTGATTTTTTTAGTTTTTTGGATTCTGTCTTATACGCTCGCTCCCAAATTGGAGCCCTATCCTTCACGAGGGAACTGTATATAAGCCCCCGATCGGCGATGATTCCGCCAAGTGTCTCGTGTCGAGCCTGCAGTTCCGCCTGCAGCAGCCTCCAAGCCATCGTCCGCGATGGCGTATATTCAATCTCCACCAATCCGAACGCATACAATTCCTCGCTGTTCAAAACCCAACATGTCCGCTTCTCGTCTCACGCCGCAGGAGTCAGACCAGATGCTCACCTCAGCCTGAATCTAACCCATCAACCCTCGCGTCGAGCCTTCCACACAACGCTAGCAACCCACCTAGAGAAACCCTCTCCCTCGAAACTTTCCTACCGCGTCGCCGTCTCCTCCTCCGGCAAAGGCCGCCGCTTCCACCCCATCAAAAATGCATACAATTTCGACCCTGCCGCAGACGCCATAGGCGTTTCAAGTGACAAAAACTCCGTCAGTCGCCGTCGCAACCGCCCAGACTCCGGCGAAGACGCTTTCTTCGTAAGCCGTATCGGAAATCGCATCTCAGACTACCAAGAAACAAACGCCGAAGCAGTCGCCTTCGGCGTCGCAGATGGCGTAGGTGGCTGGACGGAATCTCGCGTCGACCCAGCCGACTTCTCCCACGGCTTGTGCAACTACATGGCGCACACCGCACAGACCTGGCACGAGCCCGCCGAGCGCTTGCGCTCTAAATACCTCCTGCAGGCCGGGTACGACCAGGTGGTGGCGGATTCGACGATCCGGGCAGGTGGGAGTACGGCCTCTATTGGCGTCGCCTTGCCGGATGGACGGGTCGAGTTGGCCAATTTGGGTGATTCTGGCTCGGTGTTGTTGAGGAGGGCCGCGGTGCATCATTACTCGATTCCGCAGACGCATGGTTTCAACACCCCGTACCAGCTTAGTGTGATCCCGCCGCGTATGCGCGCCCAGGCGTCTGTCTTTGGCGGGGCGTTTTTGGAGGATTTCCCTAGTGATGCGTCCGTTACGAATGTGCAGATGCAGAATGGGGATGTACTCATTATTGCTACCGATGGTGTTTTTGATAATATCAATAATCAGGACATTCTCAAGCTCGTCACGAGCCGTATGGTTCTGACGGGCGCGTGGACGGCTACGGAGTCTGGCGTCGGAGTCTCGGAGAATCTGCGTGCACTCGCTGCGCCGGGTGGATTGGCTGGTGCTCTTCCGACTCCGCCAGGCTCGCCGCTTTCCAAGAACCCGGCTCACACCGAGTCCGGACCTGAGGATGGAGTCACCTTGCAGTCTGTTCTCGCGGCGACGATTGCTGGCGAGGCGAAGATTGCTAGTATCGACTATCGTCGTGATGGGCCCTTTGCTAAGGAGGCTCAGCGCTACTACCCCGGTGACTATTACCGCGGCGGGAAAGTTGATGATATCTGCGTCGTGGTTGTCATCGCTGTCGATGCATGAGTGATTTCGACAGGAAATCTGGAGATTCCATCGAACCGGCATTTTGTTTTTCTATTTGTTTTCAAGCAGCGTGATGTATAACTGCATACATATATAGAAGGCGCGGGGATTTTTGATTTTGCAGAGAGCCGGGCATATACGTCGATACCTTGACTCCATTCAAATAGAGATTCTATAGACATAATAATCCCAATTGCACACGCCCTTTGACCTTCGAAAGAGGCTTACCAACATACATTCTACTATTTACTGATTTACTGAACGCCATTATGGATCCTTGTATTCAAGAGCTCAATACATGCAGTGAATAAGACATAGTCTCTCCATTACGTACCCTTGGGGAACTTTCTGTGCATTTGCACATAAAACAGCATTCGCTCCGATACTCTGGGCCCGATTTGGTGCATAACCAGCCCGACATCGAAGCGATCATTGGCGTGCAACCTCTGGGAAGATCCAGGCCGGGTAACTCCTGTACTCCATGGCCAGAACACAGGTCAATGTGCAGAAGCCGATTAAAAAAAAAACAATAATCACATTTTCAATTGATTCAAAGAAGCCTTGCTGGTTGGTCCAGCCCCGTATCCCAGTATTGCATTGGCAGGTGACAAAAAAGATGAAAAAGAAAACAAAACCGGCGGAACCGCGTAGATTGAAACAGAAACAAAGAAGAGAACTTGAATGAGAGCGCAAATGGATAGGAGTAAGAAAATAGATATCGCAGAGTCGTGATCCTACCACTCAAGCAGCAGCCTCCGCGGGCTTTTCCTCAGACTTCTCCTCGGTGGGCTCCTCAGCTGCCTTCTCCTCGGGCTTTTCTTCCTTCTCGGGCTCAGGGGCTTTCTCATCCGCGTCAGGCATTGGGGAATCAACGTCCTTGGTCGACTTAGACTCGAGCTCCTTTTCCTCTTCTGTCTCCAATTTAGGGGTTTCAACACCATCCTCCTTGGCTCCGTTAACGGCCGACTTCTCATCCTTGTCCGCCGGGCCGGGGGTGTCTGCGTCCAAGATGTTCTTCCAGCTAGACAAGATGCCCATGGCACGGTGACGGAAGTTGAACTCCTCATCCCGGGGAATCGAGTTGAGCTTGACAATCATCTTGAGGACCTTGTTAATCTTAGTCGAACGGATGATCGAGACCTCCAAGTCTGAATGCTTTTCCAATTTGTCAAAGTAGCCGGCCATGCTAGCCATTTCATCTTCCTTGGGGGGTTGGTCGCGGGAAATGAACCCCTTTTGGAGTTTGTGGCGGAGGAACAAAACTGTAAGGTATAAGCTGGCCTGATCAGACTCGTCGGGGAAGATGGGGGATCTCTCACTCTCTTTTTCCTTCTTCTTTCTCAGTTCCTCTGGGTCAATCGGCTTCTCAGATTCCTTAGCATCGGCACTGTCTCCTTCATCGCTGGCAACGGGAGCTGCCTTGGCCTTCTTGGCAGGTGCTTTCTTGGTCTTGCTGGCGGGAGTCTTCTTGCCAGTATCCTCAGTAGGAGCCTTGGGGGTGGTCAACTTCAGCTTTGTGTTAGACTTGGGAGTCTTAGCAGGCTATAATTTCGTGAGATGAGAGATCACAACACAATGAAATTGTAACACATACCTTTTCCGCCTCAGCATCGGTCTCAGCATCCTTCTTGCGCTTCTTGGAAGGAGCCTTGGATTTCTTGGAGTCATCCGCGTCCTCCATTTCAACATCGGTCTCAGCGCCCTTGCTCTTACGCTTGCCCTTCTTGGCCTCCTTTGCGGCCTTGGCAGCCTCTTTCTCCGCTTCTTGAGCTTCCAACTCAGCCTCTTCCTGGTCAATAGCTGCCTGGTGGTCGTTCAGCAGCTTCTTGAAATACTGAAGGTTGTGGCCCTCGGATGCAACCTTGTAGGCATTGATGAGTGATTTGGTTTTATTCTTCTCGGAAATATTTTTGCACTCGGTAGGGTCGAGAGGAGTCAGGTTAGTGTTGGGAACCCAGGCGCTGTACAAAAAAAATAAGTCAGTAGAAGTTCGCGTCTGGCGTAGAGGCTGCGCGGATGGTCGACTCACAATTCATTGGTATCAAAGAACATGACGGGGAAGGTACGCTCATGGGCGCGTCTGCCATTGTCACCATACTCGCCCTTGTAGGATCCATCCTTTTGCATGGCAGTAACGGGACGAGTTTCGAGAAGGCTGGATGGCAGAATACCCTCGTCACAGATGATAGCGGGCCAGGGCGCATAACTGCGAAGGCGGGCAAGATAGGTTTGGCCTGGCTTAGCGTCCAGGTGGGTGATGCGACTCTGAGACTTCTTGCGGCTCAGCTTCTGGGTGGTACCAGTGGAGGTCCGGCGATTCTTGGAGGATTTCTTCGCTGAGGCAGGGGTTCCGTTGGCCTCCGCGGGCGCAATGGCCTCCACATCGGCAGGTGCAGCCTCGGCGGCTTCGCCATCGGCCTTGGCCTCAGGAGCCTCATCAGAGGAAGCAGGCTTATCAGGCTCAGCTTCAGCGTCCGTCTTCTTGTCGGGCGCAGCTTCAGTCTCTGGAAGAAACAGCGGGTTAGTGGCGTCGCACAGAAACAGGATGTCCCGACCGGGGGACAGCGTTGAAAAATGGAGTCGCAAAACGATAACTTGATATCAATCAGTCTATGCTTACCGGCAGGCTTGTCTTCCGACAAGGTGACATCCTCAGACTTGTTCTCAGAGTCAGTGGGTTGCTCAGTGGCGCGCTCGGGCTGCTCGCCTTGGGGCGCAGAGACAGGGGTATCGTCAGCCATAATGGCAAGCTGGAATGAGATGAGTGAAAATTCACAGGGCGATTGGGTAGATTGGCACTGGGATAGGTGGTGGGAGGAGCTTCCAGGGGAGGGAGGGTAGGAGAGATGTGGAGAAGAAAGAGAGTCGCGAAAGGCGCGGGAACTTCAAGACGCGTCTGAGTTCCGTTCTCAGACCGCAATGACGCCACAAGTTTCAAGTCACCACACAACAAGGCTTAGACGGTAAATTAGAAGATGAGGGTGATTGATTGATTCGCTTTTTGGATTTCAAATGTTTCAAGGTATTTGGATGGTCAATGGAAGAGCATTGCACAGCGCGCATAGGGGTACTCCGTAGAAATGTCTCTAGATAGTTACCTCTCTGAAGGTTTTCAATAGACAAGCACTTCACGATGGGAATATGCATCCAAGATGCCAATGGAGTATCGATGTCAGCTCCTAATAGGTATCAAGGGGAAGTAATGACGCTTGGTGGGATTGCATATCACGGATCGTGGGCAGACTGATATTCCAAGTTTTCGACATAAACCAAAGGAACGACCGTTATTCTTTCTGGTCTCCTCTTCTGATGTCTCGCTGGAAGATCGATAAATTGTAGCACACAGTAGCCGAAAGAGTCGATGGACGTCTTTGCTGTATGCCTTCACAATCACCGATATCTGGACAACACGGCGCAATAGCAACGATTGGTGACATACGAGAGTCAATTTGCTCTTTTGTCTTCGTTATCTTCTGGTCTCGCATTCATTCACTGGCATATAATACCACATACTGTCAAGTGCCAAGAGACATGTATACTTCGAGCTATCACCGCGATATTCGGGGCATAGGCACGTGGATGAATCTGTTCTTCAGGTTAGATTCTTTTCAAATTAACTGCAAATTCATTGATTCAAACCAACCTGGCCGCAATGTAAGGGAATGTGACGTGTTCCTTTTGTTATAGCCACAACACTATGACAGCCTCGGTGCTATGCTCAATTATTGTTTGCAAGCAATCGCAAATCGCTAAAGCGGTAGAGTCGCAATACACATCGAGGTAGGCCACCGTATCAAGTGTGTATTCAATGCTCTCGAGAGGTGTGTAATCACGAGCAGATCAGAACTCAAGGGTCATCCAGGGAGCTTGCGACTCCGTACCTCCTCATGTCATTGTGTCGACCGTGACAACCGTGTAATATGTGATCCAGCACACTATAATAAGTATTGGATGGGCTGCTGATTTGAACGAGGTGAGCGAATACGAGGGACAAATGGAATCAAATGAGTTGATTTAAACGCATCTAAAGTTCTATGGAAGTAAACCCCACCAAGATGATGCGATTCCTCCTTTCCTGGTCTGATGTTTTTTCCAGGGGTATTTCTATTTTGGATTTGAGAGAGATATTATATGAAGTTTTTGTAATATTCGGATTGTCTTTGTATGTACGGTGATAATTATGCTCTACTGTCTACAAAGGAACTATTTAGATAATAGTCATATTTCTCTTCTAGGAAGCAAAGAATATTTCTTGCATAAACATACTAATTGGCGAAAGTTAGGTACGGGAGAGACATCAATCCCACAGAGAGAACTGGGTAACAATAACTAAGGGAGGTTCATGTAGACAGATTATAAACCAGACCAGGCGGTCTGGTGGGGTTTCATACAGGGTATCAAGTTCTAAAACAAAGACGCTGAATCCAAAGTCGAATCAACTATGGGTGTACTCGGATGCCATGTTCTCAAACACTTTCGGTCGTGGGACACTCCTCCTCGTGGACATCGAGAAGTGACGGCTCAGGCTTATGGATCCGGACAAGGCAAAGGAAGTAGTCTTCCAGTGGCAACAGGTTGAGCAGCACCCCATTAAAATACCACCCCAAGGCACATACAAGCGCTCCTGCGACAGCATCCAGAATAAAATGGTTGGCAGTGGCAACAATAGCTACAAGGATGGTAAACGGATATAGGAAGCCGAGTATGACGCAAACGAGGCGGCGCCACGACGGGAGCTCCAGTCTTAAGGCACGGGTCAGCCGAGTACGCAGGATTGTGTGCCGGTGGTGCTGCGGCAAAGGGATTGTGATCAGTGTGAGGCCGATCAATAAAGAGTAGCCGAAATGCAAGGAAGGCATCGCCGCTGGTAACAGTTAGCCAAGGATTCATAGAGAGGATTCCAGACAACACTTGCCATATTGGTTACAGAAGCGGTTTTCGGTCCACACACTGCCCGATCCCTTGATACCATGCACCGTGTCCACGAACCCATAACTGCGGGCTAGATCTCCCTCGTCACCATCCACGGCTGTATCACTCAGTAACCGAGGTGGCATGCAAGGCCAAAGAGTGAACACCACGAATGCGAGGAGATTGCACACGGCCAAAGTCCGCCGACGCGCCTGGTATAGAAGAGGACCTGCAGGCGACCCGCTCATAGCTCCCTTGGGCTTTCCGGGCTGAGCCTCGTCGATCCGATTCCGCACGGTAGTATAGTAATAGAGCCAAACGAGAAACGCGATTGTCCCAGGAATGTGTATGAACGAGTACATCCAATTGATCCAAGGCATGACAAGAGGATGGCGAAGGAAGCGTCTCTGTATCAAGGTCTCCCAGAATATTCCCAGATTCTCCTCGATCACGATTAGTTGCAATGCATGCCTCCTCGCGACATCAACGGTGTCATCCTTGAGAGTCACGGCGGTAAAGGCACGACCGAGCTGGTACGTCTATACAAATTGTGAGTTTGGTTTAGCCAAGACCGATGGTAAGTTAAGGAGCAAATCAACCTACCCAGTAAACCAAAGCCCAATACCAACATTCCACCAAGAAAGGAAACTTCCGAAGCAATCGACTGAGCAAACTGTCTTGGAATACAATCGTATTCGGCGAGGATACCTCGAAATTCAACCCTAAAAGTCCAACTTGTCGCTTGTGCCATCCGTCTTCCGGGGCTTGTGGTGAGTGGGAGCGAGGGCTCAGCAGACCATCCTTTGTCGATTGGCTTGAGTAACCCGACTCCAAAGAATCAAATGAAGCGGCTCGTCCAAGGTCGTTCGAGTTCCGTCGGTTGTAGCTTTTAGTCGAGGATGATCCGACAGAGCGGTTAATCCAGGTGCCTCCAAATAAGAGAACAATAACCACCAAAGGCTCGATGACCATTCCAGCTCCCATGATGGGTATCAGACCAAGGGACCAGTCGTTCTCTCGACTTGAAAGAAGAAGAAGAAGGGTCCCTAGCAGCCTATAAAGAAGTACTTTAAGAATGAGGGGATTTGAATTATGTAGGTAATAGAGGAGGAGAGTTGGCTTCAGGGCCATCTAGTTGTGTTCGAAAATCGGCGAATGTCCAAGGCAGGTGCCAGGGCCAGGGCGGGAGTCACCGGAATCAATTGCATATTTTTTTTGGCTATTCCTTGGGTATAACTCTCTATATCGAATCGATGTGTGAAAGCTGAGTCCACAAGGCTGGCTTTTGTTCTTGGCGAGGAGCGTGGCTGGATACAGAGACTGTAGTTTGGGGATTCCCTGACATTGATTGGATATAGCTAGGGTTGTACGGAGTAGAGATGTGCATAGAGATGTGCACAAGGAGATATACAACGACCTCATGTATATAAAGTTATTCATAAAGTGGTACTTCAAGGCATATACCTCGGTACCTGTGTCATCCGAGAAAGACCTTCTACAACGGTGGCATCATGGATGGATAAAATGTACAAGATCGGGTCTGCTCTTGCCGAACGCCGAAACACTTCGCGTTACAGAGTCTCCGGTATCCGAGCCGGGGTTGTATAGAACTTCATATGTTGTGCGCCGTATGTTGAAGGAATACAATATGATTGTAGATTGTAATGGTATTTCGAAAATGATGTAATATACTACGTAATCTCATTGGCATTGATTCGATGAAGTATATTTGACGTCGACACTCCCAATATACATGATTTCTCATGTGGATAGCTCAACTAGTCCAGTAACTGCCTAAATATGTTTGTTAATCCACTTGTAACCGGGCGTATAATGAGTCGCACTTCAATTGCTCTGTCGACCCCATCTAGACACTTTTCTGTCACCCCGAAAATATATCAAGGCATCACTCTTCTGCAAGACAAGCAAAATGGCTTTGGCTTCGTGCGGTCAAACCCTAGACCTGCCAAGCCTAGAACGAAGGGAGTCACGGAGATCCGAGGCCCATACTACTCAGTGGGTACCATATAGCCCTATCATCGTTTTCTGTGGAGCTAACCTAAACTAGGTCATGGGTAAAAGATATCTCGCGGATATTCTCGAAACGTAATATTTCGAAATGTCCCCACCTACGTAACCAAATGGCATCTGACAACAGCTGATAGGATGGGCGATCACGTAGATGGTCTGAAGTTTGCCGGAGGTGAGTCCCAGCAGGGCTTCGGCTGTCGCCAGAAACGAGAGCGCTGAGATAAACACCAACCCAGGTGCTTTTACTCTTTTTCACGAGACGCCACTGCGGGAATTGGTCGATCTTGCCCATGAGCACGGCGTGTACGTCTCAACGGTAAGACTGTCTTAGACCAGCAAATTGGCGCATTTGACACCGGTTTTAGGGTGGATGGGCTGAGCATCTCCTCACACATCCCGATCCAAATACGGTGTTTGACCGCTATCTGAAAAAATGCAAGGATCTCGGGTACGTGCATCCTCAGCTCGAGGCCCAGGAGCCTGGAATATAAAATCTGACTAGTCAACATAGATTCGATGTCATCGAATTGTCTTCCGGTTTTCTGTCATTCCCGGAGGATGACTGGCTCCGACTTATTGATAAAGTCCACTCATACAAGTTGGAACCGAAGCCTGAATTGGGGATTCAATTCGGAGCCGGCGGAGACACACCTGCCTCAGGACTTGAATCGATTGGGACCTCTGACCCCGGCAAATTAGTAAACTTGGGTCGTAGATTCCTCAACGCTGGTGTGAAGCGGTTGATGATTGAGTCAGAAGGTATCACTGAAAACGTCACCTCCTGGCGGACTGATGTGGTGTCGAAGATCATGAAGGAGCTTCCTCCTGAGCATATCATGTTTGAAGCTGCAGATCCCAAGGCCTTTAATTGGTACGTTCGTGAGTTTGGTATTGATGTCAACCTGTTTGTGGATCACAGCCAGATTGTGCAGTTAGAATGCCTGCGGACTGGCATTTGGGGCACTGCCGACACCTGGGGCAAGATAGTATCGTTCCGGCCGTGATCTTCTGGAGAAGTAAGCTTGAAGTAAATGTATTGTCATATCAATGCACCAATACATCATGTGAGATTTTGATTCCAAGTTCATCTACTCCGTATGTACAGACCTGGGGCATCTTGCCCAGGTGGGATGAATCTGCTTAGTCAGATGGTGGAGTCCGGGGAAAGCAGACGGCCGCACTTAACAGGCTTAGCACTTCATTAAGCCTCAACAATGACTTGAATCAATATAGATCGTTCCCGACTTAATCGGTTCATATATATCTCACGCCTCGATGATTACCACTGAAATCCTGGACGAGTGACCCGACCTATTCACCAAACGCGAGCGCGGCGATAGGGATGCCTCGGGCCAGCACTACCCCGGGAGCACGCCTCCGATGCCGACGAGCCTGCGACAGCTGTAAAAGGCGAAAGCAAAAATGCAACGGGGAACAACCATGTACAATCTGTGTTCAAAGGCACAAGGAGTCGGAATGCCATTTCTCGGACCGGCCTGCCCGCCTACTCAAGCCGGACGCCAAGGATTCGACAATGTTGCTCAGTGAGCGCATGGTAGCATCTCCGCAGAGGGAAACGGCAATGGACCGCCTTTTGAACTCTCTCGAGAACCAAGGAATGAATATGGAACGCCAGGAAAAAGATGAGAAGGAAGGGACGGCTCCCGTGCCAAAGGTGGCGCGACTTCTGCGCGATGGGCAGGGAAAGTTTATGTATATTGGTGATTCGGCGAGTTTGTCGTTCTTACAGAGTCTGCGCCGTGTTGTTACGTCTTCCATTGGCCGATGTGAGTTTACCGAGGACAACTCGCGACACTCAATGCTCGAGGCCTTTCAGGGCAACCCAAGCACTCAGTCCGGAGCTCTAGTTGCGCCACCAAGCAATCACGAAGCCCAACGACTAGCTCGTCAGTTTGTGCTTGCTACAAGCCCGTTGCTTGACTTATTTGATCTGGAGGAATTTCATCCACGGCTAGCTAATTGGGTTGCAAACCCATCGGGTGACGAAGATACCGTTAGCTCGATTTTCTATCTTGTCCTTGCCATTGGAGCTCAGGTTTCCGATATTGATCAGACAGTAGCTGAGCAATATTTTGGCAGCGGCCGTCAGTTGGCGTTCTCGGCCTTTCAGGAAACCCCAAGCATATCCACCATTCAATCATACGTTTTGGTTTCCATGTATATGCTCGGCGCATGCAGGCGCAATGGTGCATTCATGAATCTGGGAATTGCTCTGCGTGCTGCATACGCGGTAGGAATCCACCGCAAGGATGCAAATGCGCTCTTTTGTGGGCGTGAGCGCCGAGCAAGGGAGCGCGTTTGGAAGAGTCTTCGTATGATGGATCTATTTCTCAGCGCCTCCCTGGGACGCCCTCCCGCAACTTCAGATTACGACTATGACATACGGGAAGATGCTCTTATATCAGGCGAATCACAGCACCATTTGACTGTAGACCAACAGCTTTCAGCTGCGGTGATCTCGCTTTGTCGAATATTCGAACGGATCTTGACCGATGTATACATGAAGCAAGTCATCTCGATCAATGTTGCAGAGATGATATCGAACCAGCATCGGGCTTGGGTTCGCACTCTGCCAGCAATCCTCAAAATGCAGACTGAGCGGCTCGAACACAAATCCATGGAAAACAGCTTAGCCGCAGCTCATGTATTCGGGTCCTATTACTGGTCGATTATCCTGTTGACACGGCCATTCCTAATATATCGTGTTGCCCAGTATGTCAAGGGCAAACTCGATTTGGCCCCCGAAACTCGAAACGGTAGCTCTCGAATATCATTGTTTGCCGATGCATGTGTCTATTCCGCACTCCGAGGTCTAGACGTGGTCGATGATCTCTGCCATTACGCATCCCTTCCACGTCGACTACCCTTCTTGATCAACTCCGTTTTTAACTCTGTCATCGTTCTCGGCGCTGCATTCTTCGCCGACTACGATAATCTTCTCCCCTTGGAAGAAGGAATGAACAAAGCCGAACGGTTTCTAGGGCTATTTGTTCCGCACGATCCACATGCATGCCGTTTCTTCCAAATTATCAAATACCTCCGCGCTGCTGTAACCGAATACGTTTCCCGCCGAAATCGACAATGGATGAATAGGCGCAGCAAACAGGTCGACCAGCTCTTCGGCCAAGTAGGCGGTGACGAGGATCGCAACTCCCCGACCCCAGGAGCCCCACCTTTCACTGAGCCAAGTGCTGCTCACTCATCTGCATCTGCAACTGCATTATCCCCTAAATCTCCTGACAAAATGCCCGTTGGAAGTCCATCCTCCTACATACCCTCCCAACCACTCCCTCAACCCCAACTCTCAACCGACAACGATGTTTGGGAAGCCCTGTGCAATGGCGCAGACCCCACCGCAGCTTTGTCTTATGATGCAGCCATTTCTGCGTTAACTACCTCGGGCATCCCGGTCGGCTGCTCTCCTGGCGGGACTATTCCTTCCGGCCCGATCCCAGCGTCTGGCCCATCTCCACTTTCTGACGTGATGTTCCCGGATAACGGTCTGCTGTATATGGCTGAGGATCTTCCAGTCTTTGGCATCTGGGGAGATGAGCCATGATTACCCAGTGCATGTCGGAAAACGAATTAGAGGATGCGATGAAAAGCGGGTGTACTAGTACAGATCTCCCTATTGTTTCGGGGATTATGATGCTCTCTTATAACTTTTTTGTATGGTCGGACGTGTTGATATATATACCCCCAAGGGCGAATCGATTTATTTCTGCATGAATCTGTACATAACAGAATTTATGTGGCATTGGTCAGGTTAGAGTGCACCGAACTAAATTGGATGTCAACACTATACGTTTCTGAAGCTGAGACATGAAAGGAACTGCACTATGTATTTTGCGTGATGATATATGTTCATATTACAGGTACCAGTTTGATCTGGGTAGCGGTGCATAGAAAGTTTACTCATGGAGTACGTAGACTAAGCAAATGCCAACGACTCCATGGATTATGTATGAGCCGGTAGAAAGGGAGAGAACGAGAGCGAAAAGGGTAACCATCCAGACAAAGAAAAGGGAGAAAGAGAGGGCATCCATACAATAAGCATCACCATAGGCAGATTTATATGACAATAAGCTAGAGACAAAGAAAAATGCAGGATATGAGAGGCCTAATCAGACCTGTCAGAGCACAGGAAAGGAATATGGATAGCTCGCTAAGTGCGGGGGTTTTGCAAGGGAAAAGGACGAAGAGGATTCGTGGCATGAGCTTCGATACGCGCTGCGTCAAAACGGGGACCAGGGTCATGATATGTACACGTGTTGATTCCAAGGGCACTGGTTCGAAAGGACACTGCGATATGTGAAAAGAACATCCTAGCCTCAGTATGAGCAAAACTTGAGGCAATATAGGGGAAATTGCCAGGAAACCAGAATTATATACGCCAGTCTAGTATGGGCAAGCACAGAAGCAGTTTAGAAGCCGAACGGATTATTGGGGGCTGTAAATTGAGTTAGTTTCTGTTCAAGTTTACCACCTTTAATGGTAAGAAAAACTTACTAGCTTGCGAAAGGTTGGCTCTGAGTCCAGTCGGTTGTGGCTCAAGCTTCTTGGGACCATCTGGCTTGACACCAAATCTGATGGGGGGAGCCGGTCCGGTCTTCTGTGGTGACAGGGGGGTCGCTGTTGGTTGCTGGGGAATTGGCGGCACAGGAGGCGGAGATGTGTAGGACTGGTTGCCGTAGCCATTGACACCAGTGGGTTGCGGTTGCAGTGCAGGGGGAAGGACAGAGTTGATACCAGTCTGCATTGGTTGTTGGAATTGCCCATATCCACCAAAGCCTGTGGGCTGTGGCCCAAGTCCCTGGAATCCAGTTTGTTGAGGGGCCATCTGGCTACCAAACGGCAGTTGCTGTTGCTGTTGCTGGATACCGAATTGTGACTGGGGAGTAAACCCGGTGGGCTGCGGCATCAAGCCATTCTGATATTGAGGTTGACCCATAAATCCTGTCGCTTGCGGCTGCATCGCGGCTTGGTAACGTAGCTGGTTTATTTCGGTCAGACTCTGGCCAGGAGGAGCAACCGGAGGACCCGCCTGGGGAAGGCCCGTCAGTTGAGCTTGCAATGGAGGAGGGCCAAAGGAGTTTTGCAGTTGCGAGAAGTTCTGAGGCGCGGACAGTGGGCGTTGCGGGGGCGGAGGCAGAAGTGAATTATGCCCAACTGTCGGAGGGGCCTGTGGGCGTTGTCTGGCCTGTGCTTGGAACCCGGTCTGTTGAGGGCTGAAAGATCGTTGATACTGTCCTATCTGTGCCACTTGCGCAAACAAGCTAGGAGTGGCACCTGTTTGTTGAGCCTGTATAGCTGGTGATTGCACGGCAGTGGCCTGCGGCTGCAGGGTGGGTATAGGCGGGGCAGCTGGTGCAGTAGGCTGAGCCGGCGTCGGCTGCAAAGGAGCTTGAAGCAAAGTCAGATCCGCCATTGCCCCTGTTGGCTGAGGAACCTGAGCTGCCGCAGGCGGTGGCGTCGGGGTGGCTGCAGGTGGCCCAGCAGGTTGCTTCGGCTGCTTCACCTCCCAAGCATCATCTTCAAATCCGGCTGCAGGCTTTTCAGCTGCTGCAGGTGGTGGGCTTGCCGAGCTGTCTGATGATTTAGGTTCCTCTCCCTGCCCGAACGCCTTGGGATCGACCTCTCCGGCTGGAACGTTTGGTGTTGGTCTGGCCCTGCGAGTGTTGTTGCGCAGCACACCACCGGGCCCGGAAAACAGACCACCTTGCCCTCCGTCCTCGCCATTGCCAATGACTTCCTCACCACCGAAACTGACATTTCGAAGCTTGGTCTTGTCCGGGGCACGGCCATATTTGGCATCCAAAACCTTCATTACTCGCAAGGTATCACCCTGGTTTAGACCCAGAGTCTGAAGGATTTCAGATGTAATGTCCGGCAGCACAGATTCGTCCATCGCGTCCTTGTTAAATGACTGTGCGTATCGCTCACAGCGATGTGGCCCAACGCCAGCCTTAAGGAAGAAGTCAAACCAATCGTAATCGGAACGTTGCACAGAAGCCCCAGCTTTGGAATCATTGCCAATGGTAACGCGAGGTCGGATGCTTGAAAGAGGTTTGTCCTCATCTAGCGAGACGCCGGCAACTTTCTCCACATGCTCGAGATCTTCAACTGACATCTTTGAGACAGGGACGGCAATCTTGATACCGTTCACCTTGTGAAGCTGGATTTTACCATCCTGGAGGCCTATGAACTGGGCTTCCACTGTGAAATCCTTGGTCCGATCCGTCCACCTTCGCACCTTAGTCATATCGGGCTTCGACTTGATTTTGCTGTCGCGCTTGCTGTGACGGTCCGATGAATCCATGGAGTCCGTCCGTGACTTGCCGATCGCAAGTTTGGACAGCCGCATCTCCTCCATCCGGTTCTTTTCCACACTCGACAAACCTGGTTCATGAGGCATCAAAGGCGCCTTCGGTATCAATCCTATGACTTCAACATAGCTACTAGGGACAACACCCTCCTTGTTGTTCTTCAATCGCCGCACCATCCACCACTCTTCAGACTTAGTATCATCAAGGATGATGACCTCGTCCCCCACAGCTACTGTAACTTCATCATCACCTTGCGCCATAAAGTCATACAGGATCTGGCCCTTCTTGGGACCGCCCCCTTCTCCTGCCTCGATCACCTCACGCAGTCCTTCTGCCCGGTAGGCACCGGCGATCTCGCCGAGTGCCGCTGCAATCTCGTGGGCAGTGTCTTTGGCACCTGCATGGAAATCGATACTTTTGCTAGGTCTGACAAGGTCAACAAAGACATGCTTGCCTTCGATCGAGTAATGAGTGAGCTTCTCTGCACTCCATTCTTTCTGCCGATCATCGCCTTCAGGAGAGATAAAGATGATTCCAGTAGCCATGTTGATTCCCAATGTCGTCGGCATCTTCTTTCTCTTGCCCATCACTTCAACCATCTCATTGATATTGTAGATATGATAGCCGGAAGGGGACCGAGGCGTCATCTCACCTGCCCGGTTGTAAGGGGGTGATGCTTTGACATGTGTCCGATCACGACCCATGGCAGGCGCCGCCTGCTGGGGACGTGGCGGAGTTGGGTCAGGCGAGTAACGGTTCATAGTGGGGGACGCATGTTCCGAAGGTGGTCGACGTGGCAGACTAGGCGGCGGAGACTCCTCGTGGTCCTCTTCTTGATCGTACGATGGTCGGACGGGAAGACTGGGTGGCGGGGGTTCATCTCTGGTCGTCTCGGCAGATACCCTCGCAGGGGCATGCTGCTTATGGATGATGCTGGCGATCGCAGCAGCAGCGGGGTTGTGAGACATATCAACCGGAGAGGCGGCGGGGGATGCCTCGGTTTCTTCCGATGCAGTCTGCGTCGGCCGCTGCGGAAGCGTCGGCGCGGCAGGCTCGGCTCGAACAGAAGGTTGAGGAGGGGGAGTAGTTTCAGCGGAGGTATCCTCGATGATTTCGATGTAATTCGACGGCGCAAACCCATACTCCGAGTTGGCTCCAACCAACGTCCAGTCTGGATCCGAGGTGTCATACACCATCAGCTCAGCATCTTCTGAGAAGGAAATCTCCTCGTCGGTCTGTCGCGTATAGTCGAAGAGGGCTGTAGCTCTGTGCGCTGGTTGCACCTGTTTCATATAATATCAGCAATTGTCCATGCAGCGAGGCCTGCGCGGGTGCCATCGGCGGAGACTCACCTCTTCGACATAGTTGTTGGGAACTAGGCCTTCAGGTTCGTCCTCATCCTCCCGACTAGCCTTCTTTTTAGCCCTCCACCAGGCATCATCCGCATTCTTTTCCAAAATGTAGAGGAGGTCGCCCTCGTGAATCTCGAGTTCGCCCGCTCCCTGTGGCTGGTAGTCGTACACAGCCGAGTATACACCGATGAAACCCATATTGGAAACAACTCGTGGTCCTACGGCGATCAATTATGAAGGCAGTCCGCTGCAAATGGCAGCGTCTCAACGTGCCAGCTCTAGGTTTCGCAGTGATGTAGGGGAAGAACCGGTAGAATTAGTGACGCTGTCCGTTGCTCGGTCAGCCTTGGCGCTCCTTAGTGCGGGTACGGGTCAGATGTCGGGGCGCGCGGAGGTAGAGAAAAAGGTTAGGCGCAAGGGATTGAGAGAGGGGGAAAGGAAAGAAGAGGGTGAGGTTGGATTAGGAGAGAGGGAGAGGGCGGGAAGGTGGGCCATAGGCGATAGGGAGGTTACAGTCACGTTGCCTCGAGCTATAGTGAACTATGTGGTTTTTTCATTCTCTTCAGTGGAATTCTTTTGCCTTTTCTTTTCTTTCCTCTTCTTCTTTTCTTTTCTTGCTGTTATCTGTCTTGTACTTCTTTGATACTCCGGACTACTTGTTTATCCAAAGCGCCCCTCGGCTCCGCAAGGCTACTGACGTACGTCTGCGGCTGTATATTTGATTAATATAGGGTTAATACACTAGCCTTGGAGGTATGTGGGTTGTAATCAAATTGCCTGTATCTAACATTAGAACGCTTCCTACAGTAGAAATCTTGAGAATTAGGACGCGTATAAACATCTATTAAATGTATAAATGTACCTATACACGACACCTGGAA